GGTCCACAGTGGCCAGGGGGTGATGACAGCTCACAGAGCACTGGAGGAGCGGAGCTGGTGGGTGACAAACACAAAGACAAGGAAATGGGAAGGCTTGTTGCCTGGACGCCATGTGTGTTGAAAGCCTTATTGTTGCCCATAAAAATGTACAACTGTTACATGGTAGAAAACTTTCAAAACAATGTAATGAGAAATATGCTCACATCTAATAGCACAGGTTCAACTACATGAAACCCAAACTAACAGATGCACAGAGAAAAAACCTATCCACAACTGCAGTCGGACATTTTTAAATATTGATAAATATTGACAAATATGATACAAGTTAGCAAGAGTTTAGAAGATTTGGACAATATAGTCAACACATTTAATCTAATTGTCATAAACAGAACACCACACCGGCAGTGAGAGTTGGTTCTTTCCAGGTACTTGTGGGAAATTTACTGAGACAGGCGAAGTGCTCAGCCAGAACCTGAATTTGCTGAGACCACTGCTCAGCCTACGGCAAAGCTCAACAAATCTCAAGGTGCTGAACACATGACAGGGAACGTTCTTTGCAAAAGTGGAATTAAACTAAAACCACTAATAAAAGACAATTAGAATAATCTCCAAATATTTGGAAAAGAGAAACACCTCTCTAACTCATGGATCAAAGGCCAGATCAAAATGTTATTTAGAAATATTTTAACTGAATGATATTGAGGTTATGAAATATCAAAGCTAGTGGGATGCATTTGGAGAGTATTTAAAGAACATATAACTACAAACACCTATTTATTAAAAATAAGAATGAAAATCAATAATGTGTTTATCCAAAAACCTCAAAAAAGAACAGCAATCTAACTTCAGTGTGAGAAAAACCACAAGAGAGCGCGCGCGCGCACACACACACACACACACAGACACCAGTGAAACAAAACGGGGTCATTCAGGAAAGCCTGGTGAGCGCACACAAAGGAGAAAAGGCACAAATCACCAACACGCGTCGCGGGCAGTTGTAAAAAAGACCAGAGGACACGACGGACAACTTGGCTCGTGGCACACGAGAACGGTGGCGAGAGAGGCCGCGTCCTCAGAGATGCCACGGACCACACTGGGGTGCGAAGGGGCAGCCGCTGGGTACAGGTCACAGCCGCTGCGTGCAGGGCTCCAGTCTCCCGCAGAAGCGGAGGACTCGGCCGGCGAGTGCTCCCACTAAGGGGAACCAGTGCCGACCGGACAGACGTGCGGGAAGGGCAAGAGTGCTCCCCAGCGCACTCTGTGGGCCAGCAAGCAGAGAAAACAGCCCGCGGTCTAGCTCTGGAGAGCACAGCGGGTGCCCAGCAAAACAGGCGCCCAGCGTGGAGCGTGGCGGGCGTGCCTGCTGGGTGCTCTGCTGATGCAAGTTCGGCACACATTCAAGGCAGTCACACCAGTGCAGCGTGTAGTGGAATAACTAACGAAACCACACAATAGTATCAGCAGTCACAGAATTACCAGGAATAAATTCAACATCAATTAACGATTCAAACAGACCGTTTTTAAAACTCCCCATTAGCTATACACAGAAGGCTATTTCCCAAATGTGATCAAAGTTATCTATAAAAATACCTGTGTCCACTCAATGGTGAAAAGGAAGGTGCCAGCCGTGACTCTGGCAGCGGGACAAGGGCTCCCACCCTCCCCACTCCCTGCAACGCCAGGAAAAGCCACGAGGACAACGGAGGAAGGAAAAGAAATGGGACAGTGCAGGGCTCGGCTGCCTGATTTAAGCCGTCGTCACTGACAAAACGACTGCGTATGTAGAAACTCAAAATGGTGTTGCAGAGCAGGCACTATAGCACCACGACCGTTCGTCACTCCGAATGTGCACTCTGCCCTCTGACCCCACTGCCTACCCACGAGGACCCTGGAAGGCGGCCACGATCAGGTGGTTGGGTTCTGCCACCCGCGTGGGAGGCCCGGACGGAGTTCCCAGCTCCTGGCTTCAGCCCAGCCCAGCCCTGGCCCCTCGGGCATTTGAAGAGTGAACCGGAGAGCCCACCCACTCTCAAAAAAGTTTAAAATATGTTTTAAAACTATTAGAGTTAACAAGTGAGCTTAAGATTGCTAGGGCCCAGGCTGATACCCAAAATTCAGCTGCATTTTTATGTTTCGGCAGCACAGTTCTAGAAAATAACATTTACAAGAGCACAAGATACCAGAACGAACAAATGAATCTAACAAGATGCACGAAAGCTTTATGAAAGACTACAAAACATGGCTGAAACCTGTCAAGGAAGGCTTGCATAAATGCGGAACTGTCCCATGCTCGTAATCGGAGAACTACATGCTAACCTCCTCAGTAAAGCCCAAATCGAGTGATTGAGTCCATCCAACACCTGGCGATCAAAAGCCCTGTAGACGCTTTTTTTTTTTTTTTCCGGAAACTGGCAGGCTGACCCTGAATATGGGTGAGCAGGCACAGGACTGGGGAGCAAAGCCCATCCTGAGGAAGAGGAAAGAGGTGAGGCTCCTACTGCCCACATGGCAACCTGTAGCTCTAGGCAGTGCAGAGACGACGCTGCCCCACAAACCAGCGAGGCAGGACAAGGTCCTGGGATTACCGGGACCGGGGATGCCAGGCGCCGGCCCGGCAGGCAGCGGACCGCGCACGTGCGCACCTGTGACCAGCTTCCCTGGCCGGCTGAGTGTGTGTGGGGCGCACTCGCGTGCTGGGCCCATGGCGCCTTGTATTGAGAATCTCTTCCAAGTAAACAGCAGACCTGGGTCTCAGGACACAAAAAGGCCCCGGGGAAGGACTGGCAAGCAGGGCTTGTGTTCCCCAGCAGAAAGCGCTAGGAGAGCAAGAGGTGAGACTGAGGTGTGTGTGACACAGACACACAGGCTCCATCCAGGCTCCATCCAGGCTCCATCCAGGACATGCTGAGGCCGCCACAAGTCAGCAGTGACTGCACCTGTTCTAGTGAGGGCGCGGCTGACACAGCTTCTACAAAATACCCGCGAGCCTGAGGTGCTGGACTCCGTCAGCCCTGCAGAGTGCAGAGTAAACCGGAGAGGCCCCGAGCATCGGCAACGGCGGGAGCAGGAGCGCTCACCGCCCGTGGGAAGGTGAAACAGGCAGCGTGGGTCGCCCCTGCACAGCCTTCACGGTACCCAGCAGGAAACTCCGACCTAGTGCACAGACAGGTGCGCCTGAAGACATCCTCATACTCACCGAGTCCTGAGAACCCCAAACCAGAAAACCCGTCGGTGCTAGACGGTCAGGTACACCGTGGGATGTTCTGTGTGACGTCCGTGAAACCACGGCACCCGGAACTACATGACTGTGGATTCCAGCTCTCTCTCCATCCACAGAGCATGGCTGGCGGAGGGGCTGGGTGCCCTCTGCTTCCCCTCCCCCACCCCTTCTCCTTTTGTGCAGATCTCCTGGCCCACTCATGACTGGTATTTCTCTGTGCAAGGTAACCCATGTTCATGTGTGTGAGTGTGTGTGTGCACACACGTGTGCAGTTTCTCATCTGAATAAATCCATCTCATATATGTCAGCTTAGAATGCCTATCTTTGTGCATGACAAGGACCTGAATTGAAAAATCCAGCTGCTCACCCACAGCCCTAGGGCCGAGCACCGCACACCGCCCGCATCTGCGGCACCAGGAATGGCAGGTTGTCTGGCCCTGCCGAGCAGTAGCTGGTGCGGCGCCGCTCACAGCACAGCCGTCTGCCCACCATGTCCAGGGCCCTGCCGGGACACAGGGCCACGGGGCGGCAGAGGCACTCTGACCTAGGTTGGAGCCCCATCTCTCAGGCTCAGGGTCAAGTGCCACTCAGCTTGCTCTCACGCTAAGGGGGTCCTTTAAAAGGTCCATGGAAAAATAGAATCAAACAACACGTTTTTGAAATTCATAGTTTTTTGTTTGTACCATTTCCATGAAACTTTTGGATTTCAGAATGTTTTTGGACAAAGATCTAATTCCACTTTTGATGAGTTTTTAAGCCCCCCTCAAACAATTTTAGGGAGAAATCTGGCTCTAGGAGATGCAGGAGAAATTCTACGAGAAGCTGCATCAAAGGCCAAGGAGCAGGCCAGCCCTAGAGGGGCAGGTGGCGCCCCTCGGCCGTGGCCCTGTCCAGATGGGGACGGTGACCTCCAGGTCGTGTGGCCCTGAGAGTGGACAGCAGCCCGCCAGGGGCAGAGCCCAGTCCGGAAGCCATGAAGGGCCGAGAGTGTGCGGGGAGCAGCCCTGGCGGTGCCTCTGGGGGAAGGGGCTGCAGGCCTGGCCCCCGCGTCGGGTTGCCAAGTTGAACCAACCTGGCCATCAGGAACAAGATGGACAAGGGCCGATGGCACCCAGGCCAAGTCAACACAAGACACGGCCGTGGGAGGCCATGCTGACCTGTGCAGCGGGCGCCCGGTAGCCACCAGCCTGTCCCACCTGTCTGGGCGGCAGTGCCGGGTGCCGTGGCCTCCGCCTTCCGTGACTGGATGATCGCTCTTCCCACACCCACAAGGCCCCTGCCTGGAGCGGCTCGGATGCCCAGGGCCTCTCCCAGCGCAGAGCCCCAGATTCACTCCGTAGGAAAGCAACTGGAGCACATGCGGCAGACCGAGCGCCAGGCCCGACACCCCTGGTCAGAGCTGGCTCCGGGCTTGGAGCAGGGCTCACTGAGCACTTGCCACATTCCACACCCTCTGCCAAGCGCCAGCCGTTCAGGCCGAGGAATCCAGACGCCGTCTTCCTCGAGCGCAAGCTTCAGACAAAACTGCAGACAAAAACAATTTGTGGCAATTTTCTCTTTTTTTTTCTTACCCACGGAGTCTGCGTTTGCAGTCTCCCAGGCGGAAAGCAGGAGTGGCTGCCACAGCTCCGGCCGGGGAGGCGAGCAGGAGCCGCAGATGGGGTTTCCAGGACGCTTTAAAGGGGGCGGCCCTGTTGGCAAGCACGCATTTGCTCTTGGCCCTCCTCTCTTCCTGCTGCTTGGAACAAATACAGAATGGCAGGAGCCCCAGTAGCCACCGTGAGAACACGAGTAGGAGGCCCCTTGAGGAAGTGCAGCATCAACAGGGCCTGCCTCCAGATTCCAGGCCTGCAAGGGGACAATACAGGGCTGTGTTTTCCCGTGGCTCCCATGGGCTGTTCTGTTGTCCGTGCCCACCCCCATCTGGGATTCAGCAGCTGGAGCCAGGCTCTGGTGGACTACAAGTAAACAAGCGCATCAGGGCGATGATTTCAGCTTGGCGCCCAGGCTGCAGAGGAAGGGACGGGCCAGCCCAGCAGCCGGCGGAGGGCTGGGCCTGGCTGGGCCTGGCTGGGCCTGGCTGGGCCGGCGGGCTGTCTGGAGGGAGGGGCGTGCAGGTAAGCAGGCCCCGGATCAGGAGCTGGCCGTCCAGACAGGGCAGCGGCGAGCAGCGGGTCATGCCTGGGCCCAGCCAGGGCAGGGCTGAGACAGCCGGGAGCCAGAACACCCTGGGCACGGGTGTGGACCATGCGCTGTCTTCGGGCCTAGTTCTTTAGCAATGAGCAGCCCGGGGGCGAGGCGGGCTTCCCCGCTGAATCGCCTGGGACACGCTGGCCAAGACGTGTGGGCAGCCCACGATGGGCGGTCTGTCGGGCCACCTCCCCGGCTCCCCCACGCCACACAGGCACTCCTGAGCTGTGCCAGCCAGAGGTGTCCCCTGGCCTCGGCCAAGGTCTCCCCGCAGAATCGCCCTTGTGAAGGGGCGCGGGGGGGGGGTGGCGGTGGCCTGGCGGTGCTGGTGGTGCAGAGGCAGGGAGTGGGGGAGACGGGAACCCCGAGCCCCCTGTGGAACAGGCCCCGGGACGCCTCCGGGACGCCCTCGGGAGCGGCGGAAGCATAGCCCTCCTGGGACCCAGGGGCCAGGCCAGACCACATGACCTGGGCAGGGCACCCAGAAGTGACGTGGGGGTTTTCCTGGGAGCCCCCGGCCAGCTCCGGGCAGGCTGAGACGGTGGAAGGCGGCCTGTGGTGGGACCGGCCGCCGGCAGCGCACGTCACCTCCTCCGAGCCGTCACCAGGATGGCAGGACAAACCTGACGCGCTCCGGAGATGGCGTCGGCGTGTGCTGGGGGAGCAACGAGGGGTGCGAGGTGGCTGTGGGGGCCACGCTGCCAGGACCGGCACTGAGGGAGGCAAGGGGCGGCCAGGGACGGGGACAGAGCGGGGGACGCGCAGTGCCTCCTGGCCAGCAGCCTCGTGCGTTGTGGTGACCGACAGCGGGGTAACCTTGACTGACACGCCCACTCCGTCGTGCTCCGAGGCTTCCCAAAAAGGCTAGAAAATGGACGCTTTCCTGGAACTCCCCACCCTGTGCGGGAACTGCCCAGGGCACCACCCCTCAGGAATACTCCCTGTTCCTACTCTTGACAGAAAGGACAGCCCAGACCTCGGGCGTGCACTTCCGCCCAGGATAAATCTTAGCCCCAACACCTTCCTTCCCCTGTCAGAGAGAAGCGCCCCCGGACCGACCCCGGCCACCGCGCCGCCTCGCCCGGCCCAGCCGCGCCTCAGCCCGGCCCAGGGGCTCCGGCAGCTGCCGGCTGAGGGCGCCCTTGCCCCAGGGCTGCGGGGCCCGCCGGGCACTGCACACGGGCTGGAAGTCAGCCTGCAAGGATTGTGTGAACACAGCATGAGTGAGCAGGCCGTCCCAGCGTGGCTGGGAAGCAGCCTCTGGGCCAGTTCCCGTGCCTCTGGGGCCCCGCCGGGGCAGAGATTCCTGCTGGCTTGTGACAGAGCAGCTTTCTCAGGGCTGGGAAACCAACCCTGACCAGAAAGACCCTCTCTAACAAGCTGGAAAGCGCCTGGAGAGAAACTGGCGCAAAGAGCTGGCCCCAGCAGTCCCAGGATTTCAAAAACTCAGAGCAAATGCCTAAACTGGCCCAACAGAGCAGCACCGCAGGCCGTGGCGGCATGGCTGGAAGGTTCTAGAAGACCTGCATCAGAGCACAGACGCTGCTTGGATCATTAATGTGTGTCCATCATAAGCTGCACTCAGTAGTGATCCTGTGGCTTGAGACCTCCAGAGCCCATCGAGGGCCCGCCTGGCTCCCAGGAACTTCACCTAGCCAAGCTGCTAATGGTTAAGATAGCGAAAGTGAGAGTGCAGGAAGTGAGCAAAGTCTGCGTGACTGGTCAGCGGCCCCCACAATGCAGCTCGCTGCAGGCTTCCTGTGAGTCACAAACGTCACCAGCCACAAGTGACCGTGGTGCTGCCATGTTCTGAACGTCCTTGTCCCCTGAAGTCAGGAGCGGAAATCCTAACCCCTCGTTGGAGGGAATCCGCAGGGGCACCTTAGAGAGGTCTTGAAGGTGGAGCCTCAGGAGGGGCCAAGACGCCCAGGCCTGCCTCTGCTCTCCCCTCCCACCGTACAGGCTGAGAGGGAACTGCCCGAGAACCAGGAGTTGGTCCTCCCCTGCCAGAGAGCCTGCCAGGGAGCCTGCCACGGAGCCTGCCACGGAGCCAGCCACGGAGCCTGCCACGGAGCCTGCCACGGAGCCAGCCACGCCTTGAGGTGGGACTCCCAGCCTCCAGGTCTGTGAGCAGTGCCTTCCTGTGCTCCCAAGCTGCCAATCTCAGGTGCCGTGTGAGAGTGGCCGGGCAGAGTCAGCGCGGATGGTGGTGATGGGCGCTTGTCCTTTGTTTTCATTTCCTGGATTCCAGTCACAGCGGCTGTGAGGTGACACGTTTTCTCCCGTGACGAGTTGCTCTTCCATTCTCTTGGCAGTGTCCTTCAAGCACAAAGTTTCACGTTTTGACGCAGTCCACTTCATGTAGTTTTTTTCTTTTGTCGCTGTGCTTTTGGTGTTAAATCAAGAAACCATTGCCTACTCCCAGGACACAAAGATGTGTTCCTGTACTTTCTTTTGAGAGTTTTGGAGTAATTTTAGCTGTGTGTAGGCCTTCGGCCCTTTGGACTCATTCTACGCGGTGTGAAGTATGCGCCTGTGGCTACCGCGTGCCAGAAACATTTGGTGAGAAGTTTCCTTTCCTCTGGGTTTTCTTGGCACCAGTGTGGAAACTCAGTGGAGCGTGACTGTTGGGCGGGTTTCCAAGCCCCCCGCTGAGCTGCGTCTGCCCTGGCCTCGGCACCGCCCTGCCTTGATTACTCCGGTGGGAGGTAAGGTTCCCGACTCTGCTTTGTTCTTTTCTCTTTCTCCTGGTTGTTTTCATGATTCTGAGTCAGATTTCTATCCCAGTCTCTTGCATTTCCACATGAATTTTCTTTCCTTTTTTTTTTTTTTTTGACAGGCAGAGTTAGACAGTGAGAGAGAGAGAGACAGAGAGAAAGGTCTTCCTTCCGTTGGTTCACCCCCCAATGGCCGCTGAGGCCAGTGGGCTGTGCCAATCCGAAGCCAGGAGCCAGGTGCTTATCCTGGCCTCCCATGCGGGTGCAGGGCCCAAGGACTTGGGCCATCCTCCACTGCACTCCCTGGCCACAGCAGAGAGCTGGCCTGGAAGAGGGGCAACTGGGACAGAATCTGGTGCCCCGACCAGGACTAGAACCTGGGGTGCCAGGGCCACAGGTGGAGGATTAGCCTAGTGAGCCGTGGCGCCAGCCTCTACATGAATTTTCTATCCGCTTGTCAATTTTTGTAAACAAGAAGCTAACTGGGGTCACCTTAACAATACCGAGTCTTCTGGGTTTTCCATTGATTTAGTCTTTTTTGTTTTATTCGACAGTAGTTTATTAAGTTTTGTAAGTCTTGAACATTGAACATCCCATTGCTTGGGATGCCCATGTGCCATTCTGGAGTGTCTGCTTGGAGTCCCAGCTACTCTATGCTTCTGACTCCGTTTCCTGCTGGTGTTCCTGGGAGGCAGCAGGGAATGGAACACCAGCAGGTGCTGGTGTTGGGGGCTGGTGGGATTGCAGGAAGGGAAATTGCTAGAAGGCTGGCCCAGCAAGTAATGGAGCACCATTCCTGCCACACACGGGGGGCCCAGATGGAGTTCCTGGTTCCTGGCTCTTGGCTTCAGCTTGGCCGAGCCCTGGCTGTTGTGGGCATTTGGGGCAGCAGATGAAGGACCTCTCTCTCTCTCCCTCTCCCTCTCCCTCTCCCTCTCCCTGTCTCTGCCTTTCAAATAAAATAAATAGTTAAAAATCAAAATAAATTTGTTCTTAAGAATTTTACCCTTTTTGGTGCTGTTATAAATGGAATCATTTCACTTCATTTGGATTACTTCTTGTTGTAGAAATACAATGATTCTTCTCTATTACCCCTGTGTCCTGCAACCCTCACTGAACTTGTTTTTTGGTCTGAAACTTTTTTAGTGGATCCCTAGGAATTGCTATACATACAAGAACAGAGATATATGTACAAAAACTAGAGATAGTTTTTTTAAGATTTTTATTTGAAAGACAGAGTGATGAGAGGGAGGACAGACAAACAGAGGGAGAGAGATCTTCCATCTGCTGTTTCATTCCCCAAATGGCTGCAACAGCCAGAACGGGGCCAAGTCGAAGCCAGGAGCCTGGAACTCTATCAGGGTCTCCTGCATGGATGGCAGGGGGCCAAGTGTTTGGACCATCTTCTGCTCCTTTCTCAGGTGCATTGGCAGGGAGCTGGGTCAGAAGTGGAGCAGCCAGGACTGGGACTGAGCTCTGATATGGAGGGCCAGCGTTGCAGGTGGTGGCTTAACCCAGTGCTGGCCCCCAAACAGCAAGTTCAGATTTTCCTTTCCATTGCGGTCCCTTTGTTTTTCCTGCTTCACCGCCTGCACAATGTTGAGCAGAGGTGGTGACAGTGTCATCAGGAAAAGCTTTCTTTCTTTTTTTTTTTTGACAGGCAGAGTGGACAGTGAGAGAGAGAGACAGACAGAGAGAAAGGTCTTCCTTTGCCATTGGTTCACCCTCCAATGGCCGCCATGGCCGGCGTGCTGCGGCCGGCCCACCGTGCTGATCCGATGGCAGGAGCCAGGTGCTTATCCTAGTCTCCCATGGGGTGCAGGGCCCAAGCACCTGGGCCATCCTCCACTGCCCTCCCGGGCCACAACAGAGAGCTGGCCTGGAAGAGGGGCAACCAGGACAGAATCCGGCGCCCCAACCGGGAATAGAACCCGGTGTGCCGGCGCTGCAAGGTGGAGGATTAGCCTAGTGAGCCACGGCGCCGGCCCAGGAAAAGCTTTCGCCTCTGACCGTAAGTGCAATGTTGGCTATGCGGCTCCCCATGCCCCTCTAAGTTGTAGGGATCTGCGGGCTGATGGAACAGTAGGGGCTGGGGACTGTCAGGATGTGGGAGGCAGTGCCCAGTGGAATTGTGGGAGGGGAACTTGCTAGAGGGATGGCCCAGGGTGTGAGAATGCACCAGGGGGGCCTGAGTCCAGCTTCAGGGGAGGGGTGCCCTGCACAGACCTGCAAGACAAGCTCTGGCCGTCCCCACCATCCTGGACGCACCCTGCTGGTCCCAGCTGATGCGGCCCTGTGCTTGGAGATGATCCAGTGAGAGGCCAGAGGTCTGGGCTTTTATGTGGTGTTTTTCTGATGCGTGTGGTCAATGCAGTTTTCAACTTCTGGCTTACAGTGCAGTCCAGTAGTGGTTTTTGCCCTAAAATTGGTGCCCGCCTCTACCACTTAAGGATTCTGGATAACGGGTGAGGGTGCTTTGCCCTCTCGGCAGAGATCATACAGCGTCTTTCAACATGAGATTCGAGGCTTCCTCCTCTCGTGTTCCTGTGCAGAGTGGTCTGCACAGACCTGAAAGCAAAGCCCACAGCACAGCCGCGCTTGGAAGCCTGACAGTCAGGCTGCAGGCCCGGAGCGGCTGCTCGGTCTGGTCAGAGCGCTCTGGAAACCTGTGTTCATCGTGCGTTCCCAGATGCTGCTGGCCCAGGAACCACCTTCGAGATCCACTCGTCCCAACAGGCCCTCTGTGTCCACTGTCTCACGAAGGAGTAGCAGCAACTGTCAGCTGAGCTGTCGGGGAAAGTCCCTCGGAGGGGACTAGATTCCTTCCAGATGCGGACACTCGCACGTGCAGGCTCCTCACAGGCCCCTGTGGGTGGTGGCACGGCCAGAGCTCCCAGCCCAGGCAGCCGCAGGCATACAAACCAGCTGCCTTGCTGTGGCCCTGGCCGTTCTCAGGGGTGCTGAGACCCGGTGGGGGCAGAGCCAGGCTTCGTCACTTGTTTACCAGGGTCTAGTCACAGCGGTGGGAAAACAGACCAGGAATGCAGCCCGCTATCCTCCCCATGCCCTTCCTGTCCCCCGATGACCCCATGGCTCTGCCTGTGGCGCCAGCTCCCTTCAGGGTGTTCTGCTCGGGTGCCCTCCACAGAGTGTCACAAACACCTTCCTCATGACACGGCTCCCACACCTGCTGTTGTGAGGCCTGGCTTACCCACATAAATGTGCACAGACAGAAGCTCCCTCTGCCCTGGAACATGCGAGTGTCTACAGAAGCACACGTCAGCAAGCAAATGTGTCCTGTAAAAATGGCCAGTGTGGATACCCAGCTGCCAGCCCCAAGCACGGCAGACCAGGGGCTTCTGGGAGCTTTGCCAGTTGGAAGGCACAGCCTGCTCCAAGTGGGGGGGCTAGGGACTGCAAGGCAGTAGAACTCGGACTGAGTCGGAGCTTGCATGATGAGCAAGTGCTACGGCTTGGATATGAGTTCTAGGGTCACCAGGGTGGCGCTGGTGGGAGGTGGTAGAGCCACTGAGAATTGGGGCCCTATGGGGGGGTCCTTTGGGCACTGGGGACCCCAGCGTCTTTGTCTCTGTGCTCATGGCTTGAGGAGTGACTGCTCCAGCCCCTGCTGCAGCTGTCACCACGTGGTCCTCGTCAGAACGCAGGTGCCCGTGAACCCGTGCCAGGAGCTCAGTCTTTTCTCTCGGTAAGGCCGCCTCGGTCTCAGGTGTTCAGTGTAGGAAGGCAAAGCTCCTGACACAACAGGTTTTCTCAGCTGACTCTGGCGTGGGGCAGGGGCATCCCAGGCAGAGATGCCCAAGTAAGGGTGAGACAGGAGTGAGCAGGGCCGGAGAGGGTGGCGGCCACCGCGCGGAGCAGTGGCATCACTTGTCTTGCTGCTTAAACTGATAACCTGGCCGGAGTGGAGAGAGAGGCGCATGAGGCTCCGACAGGCGCAGTGAGCCGGGAGTGACCACCGCTGGTCACTCCCACAGCTGCTCAGGAAAGATGGGGTTCCTCACGTTAGGAGGAGTAAGACTGAGTCTAAGATATAAGGAAAATGTGCCGGGCATGGGTTCTGGCCGTGACGGGTGGGCATGTGGAAACCATCCCTTGTCTTGGTTATCTCTAAACCAACACCACTCTCTGTGAGAGCAAGAAGGCCCCTCCAGGGCCTGGCGAGCTCCCCATATCCCGTCAGGCTCACCTGGGGGCCGGGGCCTCACCCAGCATGTGAGTCAGGGAGGAGGATGCCGGGAACCGTGATGAGTCCTCACCCGGCACAGAGATGCCAGCTCCCGCTGTCCCACCCTTCTTCACTTCCTAACTTTTAAAAAAATATGTATTGTATTTATTTGAAAAGCAGAGTTACTGAGAGAAAGGGAGAGACAGAGAGAGGTCTTTCATCTCCTGGTTCACTCCCCAAGTGGTTGTAACACCTGGGGCTGGGCCAGACTGAAGCCAGGAGCCAGTGCAGGGGCCCAAGCACTGGGGCCGTCCTCTGCTGCTTTCCCAGGTGCATTAGCAGGGAGCTGGATCAGAAGGGGAGCAGTCGGGTACTCGGATCTGCACCCACATGGGATGGCAGCGCTGCAGGCAGCTGCTTCACCCACCACACAACACCAGCCCCGGCCTCCTGCCTTTTGAACTCTCCCAGTTCTCATAGCATCGAGGCTGTAGGAACGCAGAAGGAAACAGAGGCATCTCCTGAGGTGGGGAAGCGTAGGCAGCCCCTGGCCATGTGGGTGAAGACGGAGGAGCGATGGAGGGGAGCGAGAGGTGGGGGATTAGTGGTGACGGTGATGACTAGACAGTGTTCGGGACGACCAGGCACTTGGAAGACAGTCCACAAGTTTCATTCAGTTCTGAAATAACCTGGTGTGGTGTCCACGCTCGATCTGTCTGCTTCCATGGGGACTTGTGCTCTCAGAAATTGTGCTGATCTGCCCAGAAGATTGTTCCAGAAACCAAACCGTCCCCCAGGAGCCACACTGGTGTCCCAGCCCCAGGTGCCCGGTCCTCTCCTCTCCCCAGGGACCTCCGGAGGGTGGGGTCCCCAGGTTCCCTCCCTTTCCAAGGGTGATCCAGCTGTGAGACAAGGAACACCAATAAAGGATTTTTTATCATTGTAAGGAGGAAAGCGATGCCCTCGCCAACCCCCAGTGCAAGTGACCGTGTGGGACCACAGGTGGTCGCTCGCTGAGTTCTTGTGCCGCGCACTGGGTCATTATCCCGTGTGTTCTGTGCCTGGTGGGTGAGCGGAGGAGGACCCCCTTGCTTTCTGCATGCACGGGCTGGCTTCCCACCGACTCAACACCAGCACCTCTCACTGTTGATGGAACAAACAGGGTTATCAGCACCTCGGGAAAGCCGCCCTGTGCCATGTGCCATGTGCCATGTTGTAGCAAGGCCTCTCCACAGGAAGTAGTCCTTTATTATGCCGGCATAAGGCCCAGGTGGAATTCCTTATCCAAAATCCTGAGCCCAGGACAAAGAAGGGTTTTCCCTTATTTGTGGTTTTAGGCTCTTTGTCTCCCTTATATGGTTACCTGCGTATGTTGGATTGGATATTCTAATGTTACGTGGCAGCCACAGGATTGATGCAGTACTGCCCACGGGAGTAGTTACTGAAGACTTTTTTTTACACACATACTGAACCGTAAGCTGTCTGGCAAGGGTTAGCATCATTGCTCCGTAGTAACGAGCAGAACCTGAAATGGTTACTATTCGCCCATAGGGACTGCAGTTGGAACATTCGCAGGGAGGCAGGTCACCGCCACATTTCATTCCCGGGACACAGGCCTCCCTTCTTCTTCTGACCGAGGGAGGGCCTCTACCACAACTTTCACTGTGTCAGCTAGAAACAAACTTAATTAACAGACAGAGGCCTCTGCCCCAGTGTTCCTGTGTAGCGTTCACAGCTGTTCAACAAACCTGCCGGGCAGGACGGCATCAGCAGTGACCCAGACGGCAGCCCTGGTGCTGTGCCCGGTGACCGCCATGGCTTTAGAGAGGGGCCCAGATGTGCAGGCAGTGCAGCGTCCACCCTGGGGCCGGGTAAGCAGCCCCCGCCGTCCTGCTCAGGACGCTCTCGCTGCTTGTGTTTCCACCGTTAGGCCGGAAGCGTGTGCTTTATCAGATTGGACGACCGAGCCTGCTACCATGTGCAACTCGTCTGCAGATGGCTGGGCCACAACCTTCATTCTGTCCAAGTCGGCAAAGCCAGTGTCAGAGCCGGGACAGAACACTGGACAAGCGCATTGAGAGTCCGAGCGTGCAAAGGCCTGGGGCCACTTCCTTTCACAGCACCAGACACAGGAACCCCCAGGGGCTATAGGGAGCCCAAAGGTGGCAGTGAAAAGAGACAAGATGCAGGTGCCCTGGGGCTCTAATCCAACTTGTTAGACCCTCGTCAGGAACCTAGGAATGGGACACAGAGAACCACACAGAGAGACACCCACAGACACACGGACAGTTATGCTCGGATACGCCAGCACAGATGCACCCACACACACACAACATACACAACCACAGACGCACAATCACAGCAGACACATAATTACACACAGTTACACTCAGACACACCAGCACATATACACACTCCTAGTCACACCCCTGCCTGCAGTGCGGCATCCCATATGCGTGCTGCTTCGAGTCCCGGCTGCTCCACTTCCGATCCAGCTCTCTGCTGTGGCCTGAGAAAGCAGTAGAAGATGGCCCGAGTCCTTGGGCCCCAGCACCCGCATGGCAGACGTGGAAGAAACTTCTGGCTCCTGGCTTTATATTGGCCCAGCTTCAGCTGTTGTGGCCATTTGGGGAGTGAACCAGCAGAAGGAAGTCCCCCCTGTCTCTCTCTCTCTCTCCCTCTCTAACTCTCCCTTTCAAATAAATAAACAAACCTTTAAAACAAACAAGCAAACAAAAACCCTCCTATCTGTGCTTTCTGACTGCAGAATCAGGCACCACTAGGTGGTTCCACGAGGATAACGCCCATGCAACAACGGAAAGAAGCGCACGCAGCAAACAGAACTGGGGACCAGTGAGTGGTGTGGCGGGGAAGCTGCCACCTGGGAGGCAGCCTCCCACGTCCTAGTTGCTCCACTTCTGATCCAGCTCCCTGTTAAGACCTGGGAAAGCAGTGGAAGATGGCCCAAGTGTTTGCGCCCCTGCTGCCCATGTGGGAGACCTGGAAGAAGCTCCTGGCTTCAGCCTGGCCCAGCCCTGGCCACTGTGGCCATTTGAGCAGTGAACCAGCAGTAGCAAGATTTCTGTCTGTCTCTCCTTCTCTCTGTGTAAGTCTGACTTTCAAATAAATAAATATTTAAAAAAGAAGAAGAAAAGAGAGGGGCCGATGCTGTGGCGTCGGGGGTGAAGCCGCCACCTGCAGGGACAAAGCTTCCCTCCTGGACCGGCCTCTGCGGCCAAGGCGGCCCTGCATCCTCCTCAGCGGGGCCACCTCGGCTCCTCCAGGCTCAGGGTGCATCACCTGTGTTCACCAAGGGCCCGTGGAAGCCCAGCACTACCCGCCCCGCCCCCATACCTGGTCAGAGCCCTCATCCTCCTGCCCGGGAGGGGTGGGCAGCCCGGCCTGCCTGCTGTTGCACCTGTGGGTCAGTGTACCGGAATCCCTCTCCGCCGACCTGGTGGGCAGACCCCGCCCTGCCCCTGCCGGCCTCCCGCAACCGCGTTGCAGGTGTCCCCTCTCCCCTTCCGGCGTTGGTTGCTGGCGTTGTGAGTCACCTGTACTAGTGAACAGTAATTTTGCACAGGAATTTCAGGAGCCCGCTGGGAGGGGGTGACTTGGAAAGACCCCACGGCCAGCTGAGGAGAGGGGGCTACAGCCGTCAACGGCAGACAGCTGAGCGCCGCCCTCCAGCTGCCCCCTCCCGGGCCGTCATCAGAACACATCTGAACACCTGCTTCGCTCCTCGTGCCTCCTGCCTCCACCCGCAGCTGCCGTAGACCTTGAAAACCCCTTTCCGCCCTGCCGGGTGGGGGAGTGCATTCCGGCTCCAGACGCGCCTCTTTCCCCAAGACCGCCGCTGCCGGAAGGTCTGGAGAACTGGCTGTCTGGGCAGGGGCAGGGGCAGGGGCCAGGGCCTGGGCCTGGCGATTTGTCCAGCGTGCACCCTGGGCGTCGGCGGTGTAGTCTGCAGGTGGCCCAAGCCTCCCACGTCAGCAGGGAAGGGCAGCGGCCACGTGTACCCCAGAGCTGCCCGTGGCGAGCTGACCCTGCGGCTGGGACTCCGCAGCTGCCGAGGGCCTTCCCTGGGGTCTCCCTGCTGTGGCATCAGCTTCCCACCAACGCTTGTTAGGGCGAGGAAGCAGTATTCGGAGAGGAGCTGCTGGGCTCCAGGACTGGGTAAGTCGAACCGGGCGCCTGGAACTCCTCTCTGCCATCTGGGCTTTGTGCCATTCGGGCCTAGCGTGGGTCGTCGTTCAGGCACTGGCTGGAGGGAGATAAGATTCTAAGGCTGTGACCTCAGCCCCTCCGTGAGGCGGGTGTGGTTTGGTGGAGGGCTCCTCTGTCAGAATTTCCTTCTCTCTGGTAGAACACGGGCAGTTCCGTGTCAGTCCCACCCAGAAGCCTGCTGGGTCGCGTCCCGGCTGATGGGCGACCTGTGACTGAGAAGCAGGTGGGTTCTGGTGCAAGGCTGTGTGGCCGGTGTGTGTCGGCGCCTGCTGGGTGGGTCCCTGAGCCGAGATGCTGTTGTGCAGCCAGAGAGGTTTGGTCGGATCTAGGGGATGCGGGAAGTGCTTCGTGGGCAAACTTCCCTGTCAGATAACAAGGATCCTGAAAGAGGGACCGAGATTGATGGTTGAAAGGAAAGGAGACGACGTGTTCCATTCCAGACAGAAAAACCCAGGAACCAACAGCTAGGAAAGCTACCTCTCAAATACTTCAAACTCTTGCAACGGCGGTGTCTGTGGCAACTCGTGCCCAAGGAGATAACGTCGGGAGTCCCTGCTAATCTGCACGTGCTGGAGCTCCCCCTCCCCGCCATGGTGGAGCAGTGGCCCAGGGGCTCCCCTGGTCTCCTGAACCTGGCTGTAACGGTCCCTGGTGCAGCTGACAGTGGGGCACAGGAGATCCTAAGAATCGTGCAAAGGAACGCTCCTCTCCAACCATGAGTGCCAACCCAGTCTCGAAGGAAGACAGCTCTCCTCAGATGTGAAAGTGTTCAGCTGCTTTACTGGGGCTGGAGTTGTCTTGCAAACTAAACGCTCAAGTAGGGTGTTTTTCCTGCAGATGCCAATGGAGAAGTTATGGTTAATTCAGGTTACTAAGCAAGAAGTCGTTCTAATCCACCGATGGCAATTAAAAGGAGTTAGAGAATTTTTCTCTTGTTCATATATTTTGTGTCTGTACACGTTGTGTCAACATGGTAAAAAAGCCTTGATCTGCTTTAATTGGTTTATGGATAAGAACACTCAAATAAGCTAAAACTATCAACGCAAATACCTTTCGGTTCATGTGACTTAAATCTGATGGGTAGGTTGTCTAAAGTCTGTAGAAGTAGTGGGATCTTAGGTTGATGTCACTTGCTAATCCTTTTAACCAAGGCTTTTCTCTGTAACTGGCCTAGGTAACCAGGATCTTGTGTCTTGGAGGTTTCTTGTGTTTTCTGAATCTTGGTTGCTTGGGGAGAGCTGAATGTTATCTGCCTGTTTAAATGTTAAAATGTTATCGCCTATTTTAAAATGTTTGAGCGCCTTAGCTCTGATTAGATCTGGCCCGCAGCTGTGGCTGAGAACTCGGATGAAATGGATTCCTTTACCATGATCTAAGGTCTTTCAGCAGATTCTTTAATTCTGGAAATTCTTTAGATTCAGAGTTCCGGACTTGTGTGGGAGTAGGGTATTAATGTTTGCATTTTGGGCTCTTGTACCTGGAGAAGCATTCTAAGCACAGGTATGTATAAGGTGCACAAAGTGATAAATCCTATTGAACAGGTGAGAAAGCAGACTCGTGTGTACGTGGGTTGCCCCACTTGGAAATAGTCATCATGAGCGGGCAGTGGGCAAGGAGAAGGAATGGGGAGGGGAGACAGTACCCCAGTGCCTCATCCAGTTAGACCCTCCCTGCACCCCCTTTTGTGAGGAGGGGTGTCTCTGCAGAAGGCACCTACTGTACCTGTCCCCTGGTGCCTTCCCCCCAAGTCCCTGATGAAACTAGCCCGGGAAGTGGGGCAATTTGAGTAGGGGGGGTCAGGGGGTGGTGGCGGCTTGTGGCTTCCAGCTCCGTGGTCTTAACCTAGCTGCTTGCCTACCCCATATCCAAGTGAGTCTCTGACTTTCAGTTGGATCCCTGGAAACTTCGAAGGATAGGATTCGCACTGGGAGTGACGAGCTGTTAGATTGTGTAAAATGAAAATCTAAACCTCCTGTACTAGGCTTGCTAACCTTGTTTTCCAAATCTGAGATAACTGGATGGGGACTTGACTTTTTCTCACTGTACTTAATGCAAATGACTGACAAACTAACATTGCTTTTACACAGTAACTCTTTATGATGCAGGTGATTTTTTTATCATTGTTTTGTTATACATCTTCCTGATTGTTTTTTGTTTTGCTTGTCAGAATCCTATTGCTTGTCAACTTCTGCAGAAGCACAATTCCTAGCGAGCTAATGCTGGCCTGACGCTGAGGGGACTCACCTGCAGAAGTGCGTTTCTAACAACAGACACCAGGCACGTGTAGCCTCAGGGCCCTTCTGTGTACCTCTTCTGTTGCTTAACTGTGGCCAAAGGATTCAGACACTGACCCTGGTAGTCAGTCTCCACCCCTCCAACGTGGAACCAGATAAGACCACATGACCAGGACCACGTTCATCCTGCAACAAGAACCAAACAGAGCCTTGCTACCCTGTGACAGATAGAAGACGGCAAGGGGAGGGGATGCGAGTTGAGATGGAATCCCTGGAGTATCCCTAAACTAAAAGATAAAGCTGAGAGGTTAGAAAGCAGGGTTCCTGTGTATACTTACCGCCTGGTAACCGTCAGAGTAGACTGCCAGGGCCGCAGCCTCAAAGATGTGCTTGGCGTTCTCACGTCTTATGCTGGAATCTGTACATAGCGCCCACACTGGGGTGGTCAGGCTTGAGAGCTCTTGACTTGCAAGGATTAGGACTGAGCATGGACTCAGATCTTTCTTAAAATGAAGCAGCACACTCAGTGACTCACATCTCAAAGATCTGCATATTGTCACCCAAGGCTGGCTGGGTTTGAGAATGAGTCACGTGAGGCACTGCACGAGGCAGAACTGTGCACCCGTGCCTCCACTTCCGGAACAGGGAGGTTACTGGCTCGTTTATGGCTGCTTGGGAAACACTTAGCCATATCAGCTGATAATGTAAACATCACTGTAACAATTGCATTGTCTTTAAATGGAGCCAACTGGCCTCCAGATCCTTCTGAGGCGCCTTTGCAAGGTGCATTGAACAGGGCATTCTGGCAAGCTGAACCTGCCTGGGGTCCCCTTGGAAGCTCCAGCTCTGGCACTCTTCACAGGTGGAAGCAGTGAGAGGATTGGGGAAGTTAGAGGTGCGAACATGCAGTGGTAACCTTTCAGGAAACGTGGGAAACAGCATTGCCCCAAGTACCTCTCTCCAGACGGAAGTCCTAGCCTCACCCATGCCTCATGCCTTGGGAGAGGGAAGAGTGAGCACTCACAGTGACCCTAAGTATCCTTTGTCTGCATGGCATGCCTCTTGGGTTATGTAGACAAACTTTGCAAACATCTAGGCTGCTGCAACTGTCTTTGACCTTTGAAGGGGAAACCAAGGAAGATGCACTTCACCTTGTAAAAATCTTCCATCCAAAAATCCCTCGCTCCGCCCCCAAGCAGCAGGAGGTGTCTAGGATGGAGCCGACGCCCCTGTTCCGTAGCTGTGGAAGGGAAAATTGGCAGTGGAGACTGTAGCCGTGATGAGGCGGCTTCCTGCCCTTCTCACGAGTGGCTGACAGGCGCTGGTTGCTGGAGTTACCTGTGACTCGCAAGTCTTCTTTGTACGGGAATTTTGGGATCCTGTTGAAAGCAGGTGACCTGGGAAGGTGGACCTCGCACCCAGCTGAGAAAACATGCAACCATCCACTGCACACGACTGAGTCACCAAGCCTGCACCTGGACCATCGCAGCAAAGCCCGCAAGTCGTCTTAATAACTGAATGACTCATTGCTTTTTATAACTCCCACCTGCAGCTACTTAAACCCCTTTGCTGGCTTGTTGGGAGGGAAAAGCTCATTCTGGATCCGGAAAGCACTCTGCCCAGTACTGCCAGCTTCTTGGAATAAACCCCCTGCTCTTACCAGCCCGTGTCTCGGGACAAGCGGCTGCCCAGCACGGGCAGCAAGGGCCTGATTCTCCGTCACAATTCCCCACAGGCCTTGCACTTGAAGTTGAGCCCAAGCTTTCTCCCACGGGTGTGTCCCTGAACCTGCCGTGGTGGCCCCTTGGAATAAGTCTGTCTTGGTCAGCTCGGCAGAGTGTTGTTCGGCGTGTGTGTGTTGTATGTTGTGTGCTAACAGCATCTTCTGGCTCTGGAACAAGGCCCAGGTTGGGCAGTGCGGGCAGAAGGTCGGGAGGGTGGTCTGAATGTGAACCCTGCCTGGGTGCTGGGCGTGGAGAGGTGGGGGGATGGTGCAGGGCCACAGGACAAGCACCTGAACTCCTAGAGGCTGTCGGGCTGCAGCCCCTCACGGTGCGGGGGAGGCCCTGTCTCGTTTGCTGAGGGTCCAGTCTTGGGCCGTGTCTTGAGGGTGGCACATGGAGAAAGACTCCATTCACCTTGCGGTTTCTGGTTAAGAAACAGCCTTGTCCACATGGGTCACACACAGCCCTCCTTTACAATGGGTCCGCCGTGCTGGGTGATGCAGTGGCCTCTGGCTCTGTCCTGCATGGGGTGCCCATGTGGGAGACGCATCCGCACGCCCTCGGGGCTTGGGGATTGCTGGGAGTTGAACAAAACTTCGTGGAAGGCCACTTTGGAGAGTTCAGGGTGAAGGTGACCATGGCTATTGGGGTACCTGGGTGGTAAAAGCCAGATGAAGGGACCCGGAAAAGCCCCAGAGGAGGGGTCTGAGCTGTGACAGGTGCACCAGCTCAGAGGAGCAAGAGTGCCCCAGCAGCTGTCCCTGAGCATCAGAGCAGTGACAGCTGTCGCTGGGGATGGGGTCTTCCTGGCGCACCTGGAGAGAGAAGGCCGTCTATGTTCTGACTTTAGCCAGAGACAGACCACAGGACGCCACGGTCCCAGCTCCTGGCTGCATCCTGTGCCACACTGGGCAAGCTGTGTCTCCGTGCCCCTCCCACCCACGGGCCCAGTGGGCTGGGCTTCCTGAGGATTCGGCTGAGGAAGGGAAATGGCGGACTGATGGCTCCCGGCTCCTGCTGAGCCAGGGAACCCAGACCCCTGACCCTGAGGTCACCGTTGGTGGCACTTCCCAGCTGAAGTCCCCTCTCACTAATGGCTCTTGTCTGAGGCAGCCAGACCGCCGGCAGGGTGCCATTGCATAGTGTGGCAGGCTGTGTAGAGGGCCACAGCTGTCGATGACCTCTCACTCGGGGACTGAGTCCTCCCCACCCTGTGAGGGAGGCAGGGCAGCCTGGGACAGGGCTGGCGCCTGCTCTCCTCTAGCTGGGGTGCAGAGAGCCGCGGGGCTGGGGGCGCCTGCTCATCCCTGTGAACCGGTATTGCCACAGCCGTGTGATGGCACGAGGTGCTGGAAGCAGGACAGGAAGGGCCCTCGAGGGCAGACACCAGGGCCTTGTCTCCCTGCTGTGCGTGGGCACTTGGGGCCCTAGGCGCCGGCCCTGAGCTCATGGGCCAGAGAGCACCGGGACTGACAGGGACCCAGCCCCGAGCAGCGGGGGACTCACTGCTGCACACGTTCCAGACACTGACGAGGATTCAGTCTTGTCAATGGGAAACATTAAAGTTTTAGAAACTGTGTCTGTCCCTCCTCCTCTGTTTAAAAGATTTTATTTATTTATTTGAAAGGCAGAGTTAGAGGGAGACACGGGTCCTCCATCCACGGTCCACTGCCCAAATGGCCGCAACGGCTGGGGCTGAGCCGATCCGAGGCTGGAAGCCTGGAGCTTCTTCCAGGTCTCCCACGTGGAGGGTGGGTGCAGGGGCCCAAGCACTTGGGTCATCTTCCAGGGCTTTCCCAGGCCACAGCAGAGAGCTGGATCAGCCGGACACGAACTGGCGTCCCGGTCGGATGCCAGCGCTGAGGCAGAGGCTCAGCCCACTGGGCCAGTCTGCCCTTGAGTGTTTGTTTCAATGTCTCTTTTCAAGCCTCTCGCAACACAGCCCGTAAATCCTTGGCAGGAAGGCTGTTGACTTTAGACAGCTGTTCACATAAGGGAAATATTTTCTGACAATGAAGCATGAAGATCTTAATGATTATTTTAACTACTCCTGAAGGAACCGTAAACAGAACAAAGTGGACGGCCGGCCTTCTGCTGAGCCCCGGTGACGTCATCCACGGAGCAGTGTGGGCAGCTCAGCTGGGATTGGTGCTGGCCTGCGGAGGAGGGGCAGTCAGGGGAGGCGGGACTGTCATCCTAAAAGGACAAAAGAAGGGAAGGGGGAGGTGCTGCCCCTGCTTAGGAATGGCCTTCAGCTCTAGGGAAATGAACCTGGACACAGAAAAACCCAGAAGTGACCAGCCTGGCTTCTTCAGGGTGGGGGTATCTGGTCGTTCCCTCTCGGCTCCGTGCTTTTCATCTGTGAAATAACGAGTCCAGAAGGGCTTGATGTGGGGACCCCAGTGCAGAGGCCCCTCGTCCTCAAGCTGCCCGGGCCCTGAGAGGAGAGGTGCCAGCAGGGGTCAGGCCTTGCAGCCAGGAAGAAGTAGAGGCCGGAGACGCAGCTGCCCAGCCTCAGCCCCAACCCCAGCCCCAGCCCCAGCCCCAGCGCCACCCCAGGGCCGACTGAGCCCCGCCCGGCAGCCCACCCCGCAGATAGTTTCCCCCGAGGGCGAATCTGCATCCCTACTGAGCTCCCTGGTCGTGAGGATGCTGTACCCACAGGACCCCGAAGGTGAGAAGGTGTCTCGCGGAGAGAAAGGTGGGGTGGAGAACAGGCCCCAGGCCCCTCCCTGCTGCCCTCTGCAGCCTGGGCAAGCTAGCAGTGTCCCCAGCCTGCCCTGCAGTTCTGTCCCCGCAAGGACAAGGCGAGCGGACGCCCATGGGGCCCGCCTCTGCGAGCCCTGACTTCCCTCAGGCACCTCTGGCCCTGCTGTTGCCCACCTGCCTGGACCTCTTTATTACTGAGGGGCGTCCCGGTGTGGACCCCGCGCCTGCCCAGCACCGTGTGGTACAGACACCTGCTCGCCTGCCCCAGGAGCAGCCGTGGACAAACCTGTGTGAACCTGACCTGGTTTCTGCAGGGCAAGCCCCCGGCACTGGGGCTGCCTGGAGCACTACATGTGTGCGTCACTTTGCAGGGAGCCACCGCGCTGTCTTCCACAGTGGCTGCCGCTCCCGTCCCTGCCAGCAGTGAGCGCCCCTGCTGCTCCATGCCCTGGAACTGCCTGTGTTTTATTGTGGCTCCTCCAACGGGCTCTGGCCTGCACTCCCTACTGGCTGACCGCATGACCGCCGCTCTCCGCCCTCCAGGTGGGCTCCAGTGAAGTCCTCGGAGTGCCCCCTTCTGCACAGCAGCGCGCTCCTCTGCTGGAGTCTGCAGAGGGCTGGACGCCGGCACCGGCAAGGACGCGGCCCCTGCTGAATGTGGATTTTCAAGCACCTGCCAGCCTGTAGCCTGTCTTTGCCTCCTCTTAACTGAATTTCTCACAGCGCTGTTTAAAAACCAACCAGGAAGTGCAATGTACCGGTCTTCGTGTAAGAAAGAGCACAGAACATAGAGGAGACAGAATACGAACTTGCAGCCAGGCCACATTCATTGAGAGAAAACTCGCAGAGGTCTTCCAGCTGCCAGCACGCTCACAGACCAAGCACATGGTCAAGCCCTGACCTCTGACCCCTGACCCCAGCAGGCTGGGCCCTTTCCTAGCTCAGGTGGGCTGGGGCTGGGCCTGGGGGCAGTAGGAGGTGAGCTTCTCCACACTGGTTCTTGAGGTTTGGCCCACTGGCTTCCAGCCTGGGGAAGAGTCCAGGGGGTGGAGGGGGAACAATACAGGGTGTGTGCAGACTGAACTGGTCTCTCGGAAGCAGGCAGGGGGAACAAGAACCTAGCGTGGCTGAGCCTTATGTCCTGTTCTGTCACTTCGTACTGTCACTGTCTTGCTTCTGGCAAATGTACCCGTGGGCCCCTTGTCCACTCTGTTTTTCTGCAGTGTTGCAGCTGCGTGCTGTACGCTTAGGTCCACTTTGACTTGACTTCTGTGTGAGAGGAGTTTAAGAGAAGGTGGCGTTTCCGCCTGTGAAAGTTCAGTTGTCCCGGTGCCCTGCGGCTAAGCTTCTCTTTTCTCCAGTGCCGTCAGACTTCTCCCGAGGATGGACCGGCTGTCTGGGTGACATCTGGACTTCTTGCCTGGTCCCTTGATCTCCCAACTCATAATGATGTTCCAGATCTGATAGTGTGAATCCTCCACTTTTCTTTTTTCAAAAATATTTGACCCCTCTCAGCCTGTGGCCTAACACACTTCCCTATCCGTTCACGTATACCTGCGTGGTTCTTGTGACTCCGACTGTCTGGAACACATCCCATGCACACTGAATTGGCATCTGGGCCACACCAAGTCAGCATCCAATCCAGTCCCTCCTTTCTTACCTGACTGCTACATGGTCTGCACACAGTCGACATCAGATCAATACCAAGTCAGTGTCCAGTCCACACCCATTCAGCATCCAGTCCTTGCCCACTCAGCTTTTAGCACACACACAGCATGCAGTCAACGCACATTGAGATCTACTCCATAGCCACTGGTCCACAACCAGACTCCAGCCCTCCCCAGCCAGCGTCTGGTCCACACCCAGAGAGTGTCCTTTCCACACCCAGTGTACAGTTCCTACCCAATCAGAACGGGATCAACACCCAGTGATCATCTAACACACTCAGCATCACAGCCACACACGCATCTCGTCGACACAAAATCGGCAACGGCCCGTACCCTGTCGCTATTCATCCACACTCAATCCGCATCTAGTCCATGTCCCTTCAGTGACTAACCCATACCTAGTCGAAGTCGGATCTACCCAGTCAGCATCTATTGCAAACCCAGGTTTGGGTATACACATAGTCAGCAATCAGTCCAGACGTGATTAGTATCTAATAGTCACACATTCACTCAGTAACTGATCCATCCTGGTCAGCCAGCCAGTGGACATCCAGTCAGCAGCTAGTCCACACACGTTCAGCATGCAGACCACGCCCAGTCAGCATCAAGACCACACACACACCTGTGGGGAGCAACTTGGACTAGACTGTTACTGGAATTAAGACTTATTCTATGCATCTGCTCTCCCACAATATGGCGCTGGGAGAGGAGTAAACAGCTTCTACCCAGCTGCCTCTCACCAACTTGACAAGCTGCAGGACCTGCTCCTGATTGGAGGAGAGCAGCGTACTCGGCGTGTGGGTAGCAGAGTTGGGATTGGTGGAAAAGGACTATAAAGGAGGAGAGAGACAACATGCACCAGGAACATCTAAGAGGTACATCTATCTGAAGGAACACCTGTGCAGCCCCCGAGAGAGCCGGCCGGCGGTGTGCCGCTCCCCCGCGGAAGTGGGGAAAGTGGCAGGGGGAACCGGTAGCCAACCTGGGAAGAACCAGCAGCAAACCCAGGAAGGGCCGAGCAGACAAAAGAACAGCGCAGGGTCCTGTGTCGTTCCTCCACGAAGACGGGGAGCGACAACACCCATCACCCAATCCACACCCTCTCATCATTCATCTCACCCAGCATCCAGTGCACAACCGATCCACATGGAGTTCACACAAAGTCCGCTTCTCGTCAACACCCAGCATCCAGCTCACACTGTCAACAGCTGGCCATGCCCATTCAGTATCCAGCCCACACCCAGTCATCAGACTGTATCCACTGAGTGATCTGTACCTAGCAAGAATCCAGTGGACACCGTCAGTATGTACAGCACATCCTGTCAGCATCTTGACAAAATCCTGTCAGTTTCTAGGACGCCCCCAGTCAGTATACGCTACACTGTTTACCTGTCAGCATTGGATCTACACCCGGTCAACACCAGATGCACACACATTCAACTTCCAGTGCACATCTAGTCAGCATCTCGTGTACACTCAGTCAATAGCTAGTCCATACCAGCTCATTAACCAGCCCACCCCTAGCCAGCATCTCACCTGCAAACAATCGGTATCCAGCTCACATGCACTCAGTAACTAATCCTTTGCTATTCAGAATAAGTCCACCCCATTCAGCAACCATCCACATCAGTTCCCAGTCCATTTCCAGCAAGCCTCTAGTCGACACATGATCCGTGTCTAGTCACGTTTACTCAGTAACTCTAGTGAGTTACTGGTCATACCTGGTCAGGATAAGGTCAAGAACCAGCCAGCATACAGTCCACACCCAGAGGTAAGTAGACACGCAGTAGCAACTAGGCCACAGCTAGTATCTAGCCCACATTCAGTCAGCAGCTGGTCCACACACATTCAGTATGTAGGCCACACCCAGCGGGGCATGCATTTCATCCACAACCAATCAGTATCCCGTCCACGTCCACAGAGTAATTCATACACACTTGGCATCCAGTGTATACGCAGACCATGCCCAGTCAGTTTCAAGACCACACTCATACAGTCCACACCTCCTCATTCGTCGCACACCCAGTTAGCAGTCAGGCCACACTATTCAGGATTTGGGAGAACATTTGGTATTTGTCCTTTCAGAACTGGCTTATTTCACTAAGTATGATGTTTTCCAGTTTCATCCATTTTGTTGCAAATAACCAGATTTTTTTTTACTGCAGTGTAGTATTCCATAAGTACATATCCCATAACGTCTT